TGCTGCTCCACCACCCCGTGGGTCACCAGTGTCCACACCCAGAAGTTGGGTGGAAAGAGGTAGCCCGGTGTCACCCCTAGGGCGTACGGAGTGTCGACGGCCCATGACAGCAGATAGAGGAGCACCACAACAGCACTTATACTCTTCACCACCACACTGGTGCTGGCCAGAGCAGCCAGGAAGTGCTGCCGTGCCACCGGCAGGTAACGATTCATGGTAGTCTGTTGTGAAGAGGATCCTTCTAGAGGGGATCGAGATGGCAGATGCAGCAGATGTTGGATGCTGGTGTGAGATTAACAATGCCAAGCAGAACAGGTGACACCTGGGAGTCCTGTCAGCATCAGAATCCACACCTCTCTGTGAGCCTTCATCCGGGACACTGTCTCTCAGCTGGTTGGAGATACCTCAGGTGATCAACTCAGTCCAGGTCTGTTCTTTCTGATCAGCTCTGTCAGTCTTTATATTAAAAATCAATACGTGACTTATGTCTAAGTTTCTGTAACAGTCAAAGAGTTGAGGAGACAGAGCGAGCGTCTGATCCTCACTGGGTAACAAACTTTGCACCGCAGCAGATAAGCAGCCTGGAGCTATGATAACCTTAGAGAGGAGACCTTCTGATCCTGCTGCCGAGCTGGCGACCTTCAGTCGGCCTGGACGACTTCACAACAAACCGCCACCGGCTCTCAGGAAGGTGGCAGCGGACAAATATGCAAATCCTGAAAGGAATACACCTGAGTACCTACTTGTTCAGAGGAGCTCGGCTGCACTAGCTTGTAAACACAGGACAGCTAATGTTAGCTAGCTGTCAAACTGACACCGTCTTGAGTTACGTTGATTTACACCCGCCGCCGAGGAGCGGGAGAGGTTACGTCTTCGTTTGACGGTAACACGGAGCAGTTAGCTGCGGTACAACCCGATCGATCACACCGGTCCACGGAGCTCCGGTCCCGGTCCTCTCTCGGCCCGGTGACTACCGGGCTAGCCCGAGGATTTCCCGTAGTTAGCAACAGGCCTCCAAAACAATGTTGGAGACGTTTCTGGACCCGCGTCGACTCGAGAACAACTCACAGGTTTTCTAAAGTCCCTCCGCGTCATTCGACGGTTTAATAGTTCCTCTGTGTTTTCAGAGCAGGTCGGCGGAGAAAATTATTTTATGTTAGCAGGCACTCCTCCTCCCAGTTACAGCACTCAGATACTGCCCTGCGCTGTCTGCCACCGTCATCAACAATCAGGGAAAAAACGTCAAGTCACGTAACTTTCGAGCACCAGAGCATGCTGGGAAATAGAGTTTTCAGCAATGGACGTCTGATTCACCCCCAGTCCTCCACGCTGGCAACAAAAAATAAGTTTAGTCACGTCAATTAAATAAATTAATTAATGAATAAATACAGCCATGAAATAAATCCTGAAATAAATTAGGTAATATATGTAGAAATATATAAAAAATGTAAATATAAATATATAAGTGAGTCAACAAATAAACAAATAAATAAATACAAAAATAAATGAATAGCTGAATAACTGATTCAGTGCTGTTCTGGTGCTGTTGTTTTGGTCTGAATCTGTGAAATAACCACGCCCCCTCGTTTGAGTATAAATAAATTAAATAAAAAGAGCTGGAAAATAAATTAATTTTAAGATTGAAGTCCCCCGAAATAAATAAAAATGACATTTTTAAGATAAAAAACTATTTATTGATTTATGTATTCATTTATTTATTCATTTATATAGCTATTTATTTATTTATTGACTCACTTATTTATTTATTTTTACATTTAATTATATATTTTCTACATTTATTACCTAATTTAGTTATTTCAGGATTTATTTCATGGCCGTATTTATTTATTCATTTATTTGATATTGATTTAGATGGCATTCCACGCCAAGTTTCATACATATGATCAACCTTGTTGGACATTGCACAGTAACAGGCTGCTTACACACACACACACACACACACAACACATAACCAGCAAATAATGGGCTATAACATTCTGAAAGGAGCCATTCCGCATGAGTGCTTTTATTTTTCACACATCACAGTACTTCAACTCCTCTATACAACACGACACACCTTTAAACCTTTTTCACTGCTTATACAACAGTTTGCATTTTTCATCTCGCTCACTTTTTTCCATCTCATCATTCTACTTAAACTGCTTCTTCACACAGATTCAAACAGCAACACAGTTTAGCTTCAGCTTGTACAGAAGCAGCAGTTTCTAGTTATATTTACCATAGGAATATAATTGATCACTTTAAAATGTGTAATTAGCACATTTAATCTGTAAACAAGCTGTGCCTTTTGTGTTTCCACAGCACAATTATACTCTGATAACAATACAGTGAATAAAACACAGAAATAACACAGATGCATTCAGTTCATTCTGAACAATCAGAACTCACAAGAAGACAAATCACACAGAATCAGGCTGTAACAGGGACACAGACTGAACAGCAGCCTTCACTACAGAGAGATAGAGATCACAGATGTCACTGAATATGAAGATTTAAAAAGAGACAACTGTGATAATATTCATTCCCATTGTGCTTCATGTGTGTGCAGTTTGCCATAAACTACAGGTCAGAAGTCTCAGAACAAACTCATGATGCAAAGGTAAGCTGTAAACTTCCCGAAGTAAAAAACAAGTTTAGTTCATCTGTTCAGCTGCTGGATGAGACAAAAAAACAGATTAACTTTAATTGTTTATTTGTTCTGTTTTAATTGGAGAAACACTGAGACATTGAATTATGTTCATTTAAATACCAGCTGGAAACACTGCGGTGTTTTAAATCTTTTGACCTGAAGTGCACTGACAACACCTTTGCACTTAACTTGTGCATAAATACACCTCAAACTCTCAAAATGATCGTACAAAGCTGCTGCTGCTCTGTTCAGAGTTCTGAGTTCTTACCAGTCAAACACCGAGTTATTCCTCTGTGTCTCTGGCTGATTAATTTGATTTGGAGGAACAGCTGCGCTCTGAAGTCTAATAGTGGATGTCAATCATTGTGGCTGGTAAATGACAGTAGTAATGGATCTATTGAGCTCTAATGAGTCACTTGTCTTTGCAGCCAAATCTCTGTGTTCAGGACATGAATCAATGAAACTAGATAATCCTTATTATCATTCAAACATTTTATGCCTCTCACTGGAAACAGAGGTCAGTGCATCCATTATGTCCTGGGTGGAGTAAACCGTACATGACACCACCACCAACACCTGTTGGTACCTGATCTATTTGGATCTCAGAGCTTTTAATTTGACAGTTACGAGTTCTGTAAAGGTCAGTTAATCTACCGAGGTGTCCTGCACACTCAGACCACTTACTGAAGCTCGACCTGGAGCGGCCAGTAGAAACCAAACCCAGACTCCACCCTCCATGCTATATCCCATTGATCTTACATGGACAGGATGATGATGATACTTTAATCTACCAATAAATAAACAGAAGAAAATTAATTCAGCTCAACTAGTTTTAGCTTTTGGCCTGATTTCTGCTTTAAAGAGTGTATTCATTTAAAAAAAGAGAAAGTTCTCTGTAAAAAGTTTCAGCTGAAGGTCTTCTCTTTAAAAAGTGCCATGTTTGTGTTTTTCCTTCCCTGCTGTAAGAGCATTAATTACAAGCGTTGGATTCCTTTAGTGTCCACGTTCATCTCTTCATCAACATGTAAAACATTAAAACCACGAAATATCATGTTCTCATTGTTGTTCTTATAAATAAATGAACAGAATAAAGATCTGAAGTTTCATGTCTGTCCAGAGTTGATCTCAGATTCTGACTGATCTGTGAGTGTTTGATTATTTATCCGGAGAACAGAGAGAAACAGGAGCGTCAGACGTCCGGTTCAGTCACCGTGTTGCTCTGATCGTCGGTGAGTTTTGAGATGACATCAGAGGGTTGTGGTTCAGGCTCAGTCGTCTGTGTGCGTTTGTGTGTGTGAGTCTGCTGCTGTTGTTAATATAAAGAAATTAGGAAAAGTGTTATTTAAAACGTTTCTTTTTATTTACAAACTTCCAAAAAAAGCAACAAAAAAAAAGGATCTAAAAGTAATCCAAGGTCATACACATTATCCATCGATACACTACACAACAGGCTTTGACTGGAGCCGATCCTCAAAGACAGCAGCTTTAATCTTCTCCTCGGCTAAAATGGAATTCAGTCGGCTCGGCTCGTCCGACCGGATCGATTCGTATAAATAAATATGTAAATTCAAGTAGAAAGCTGTGAAATAAAAGAGCTGACAACCAGACAGTTCAACACCGAGGGAACTCGCTCGTCTGCCGTCACGACACAGATGGACATTTCTGATGATATGATAATGAACGACAAAAAAAAATAAAAATAAAAAGAAAAGAAAAGAAAAGCACTTGATATAATTCTTTCTTTTCTGCTAACGAGTGGTTGGACCGCCTCAGGTTCTGACTCATTACCTGTGAATGATCTTCACTTACATGCTCACAAATGGCTCATTTTATTCTAATAAAATACTGAGAACATGCAGGAGGTTCTGATGAAGCTGAAAATCAAAAAGTTCCTGATGTCCTTCTTTTCTTTTCCTCGTGATCAACAGCTGATCAGAGTTATCGTAAACAGGATGTGATATTTACTCCATCCTTCTTAAAGTTGCTCTCCTGGATATTAATGTGACAGTAACGCACCGACTGGTTGGTCCACATGTAAGTTCTGCACAGGTTCACATGTACTGGGTCAGACTGGCAGATCGTCACTTCTTTAAAACTAAACGCTAAACACTAAAGACCGAAGCGTTTTCCATCTGCGGTAACAACAATAATAAAATGAGCATCAAAATTTTACAAACAAGATAAAGAAAAGCAACAAAAAAGGAGATCAAAAAAAAAATAGTACAAAAATAAAAATGAATAAATATGCACCGTCATAAATAAATTAATTTGGTAAATTCAAACATTGTAAAAAGAGGAGAACAAAAATGAAACATGAGTAAACCAACGAAAACATGGAAGAGAGAGAGAACAGGAAACGCTTCGTCCACAGAGCTGCTGCTTTTTAAAGCTCGGGCGGCGGCCATTTTTCTTTTTTTGGAGGAGAAGATTTTCTACAGGAGGACAGAGCCGATCGCGATCGATCGGTTTGTGATCGATCGGAACAGCAGAACGATGGTTTGTGGTTTATCTGAAGGGAACTTGGTCACATGATGAAGCTTGTCGTCTACAGATGTATGTCTCTTTTACAGTGCAGTGCGGTGAACAGCGCCACCTGCAGCTCAGACAGAGAGGTGGATATGTGCGTCTCGTGCTGAGGCGGATTTTAATTTCGTTATTTGGTCTCTTTAAGACACGACCCTCTCCTGCGGAGGCTTGTTGATGTGCTCGTGTGATTTCTCGTTTTGGCAAAGCTACACCGTCTCTCCAAAAGAAAAAGAAGAAAGAAAGAGAATCAGTTTGGTTTCACAACACGACCTCTGTTCACAAAATATGAGACAGAGAAAGAACAACAGCGGTGGAGTCTGTGTCACAACGAACCGAGCAACAAGTTTCTATTTACTGATTTTCTTTAAACGATTCCTTTTGAACCCTGAACGACACGACGCACAGACACGGACAGAAACAACCACACAAGCGAAACCAAAACTCGGGGGGGTCGCGAGCTCAATTCCTGCGGGGTTTGTACGAACACATATATAGGCTTGAGTGAGTGTTTTGCATCGTTTGTCTCTAGGCTACAGTAAGACTGTGGGTGAGATTCAGAGAGTCCGTCTGTCTTCACCTCTCCTCTCTCACAGCTAACATTCAGAAAGATGGAGGCAAAAAGGCATTTTCTGTTGGTAGTTTCTCCGCTACGAGGACGACACCTCACTGGAACACAGTTTGTTTTTTTCTCATTTTCACCTGGTTGTTTTTAGGCAATCGTTTTTTCTTTAAAAAGTAAAAGAGATTACATAAATAGAAAATACACACACACAAAAAAAAAGAAAAGAAAAAATCAGATCTTCCCACGTCTGACGCCTAAAGAGGATTCTTTTGAGAAAGGCCTGGTTTAAAGGCATTTGATTGAGCATACATTCTGTCATTAGAGCCTTAAGGTTTTCACCTCGTCCTCAATGAGCCTCAAATGCTTCTTCAATAATTCAAGATCCCCAGAAGACCCTTTCTTTTTTTTTTTTTGTTTTGTTTCTACATTACCCCTGTCCTGGCAGTGAATCATTAACTTCAATCAAAATGCTTTTTCTAAAACGTCTGTTTGAACTTTGAACCTTTAACCATTTGAAGAAATATTCAGTAGCAATATTTGACAAGTGACAAACAAAACCATTTCAGTTACTGATATTTAACAAACGTTTCTACCTGCTAATTTCACTATCAAACCTTTTTTTTTTTTTTTTTTTTCGTCCTGACGTCGTCAGTTAATTGGCTGAATAAAGCAAAGGAGTCTGGACAATTAGCAAAGCTGCAGAACTAGAATCTCTAAAGTCAACAGTACAACTAGTGGCCGTGTGCGGTCACTGCAGGCCCACGATCAGCAGGACTCAGTCCAGTGATTAGTATCAATGCCAGTATCGAACAAACAAACAAACAAACTTGGAAGCCCAAAGTCCTCGACTCTCGTCCTCGTCTCTCTGCTGCTTTTTACTTCCTCATGTTTCTTCTTCGCACCGAGTCGCTCTGTGTTCACACTGTTTCTCCACGGCAGAACAGACGAGACGCTTCGGGGGCTCAGTCGTCATCACGTTTAATGTCTGTAGTCGGTTTCCCTGGCGACGCCTCGGGTCGTGTGACTCCTGACAGACAGGACGCCGTCCTACTGTGACGATCGTTAAATTGAATCAAGCAGCCTCGTGATTCACCTGTCACTGTCCCCTCACCTCGATGACATCGTCGTCGTCGTCGTCGTCCGAGCTGCTGGCGCCGCTCATGTTCCCGCCGTTCATCAGAACCGGGCCGCGGTGGCCGTCAGAGCGCGTCGACGGGGAGAAGGAGGAAGGGGAGGACGAGGAGGAGCTGGAGGCGGCGGTGGGAGGATACTGGGACAGGAAGCTGGCTCCGGCCGGACCGGGAGTGGCAGCCGGTCCTGGCAGCCCCCCCGGCAGCATGGACCCCGTGTAGAGGCTCGCCAGAGACTGACTGTAGGAGAGGGGGAAGCCTGGGGGGAGCATCCCGGCCATGCCCGCCATGCTGGGGCTCAGCATGAAGGGCGGCAGGGCGCCTGGAACCAGACTGGCGGCTTTGACTGATGAGGAAGAGGAGGATGGAGAAGAAGATGAGACGGCAGTAGCGGTGGTCGTCGTTGATGAGGTGGCGGAAGAGGAGGCGGGGACAGCGCCGGCTCCGCCCAGGCCAAACAGGTCTGCATACATGTACCCGGGGTCCCCCAGCTGAGCGTGGGGGGGCTGGAAATAAGGCGAACCCGCCCCCGCAAACAGTGGGTGCCCAAGTGACCCGCTCAGCATGGTGGGGTTGAGGCCCAGCGGGGGGAGGCCGTAGCCCCCGGGGAAGGGGAAGCCTGGGGGGGCCAGAGGAGTCGAGGAGTGTTTTCCCGCAGACGGCTGCTTGATGGGACGCTCCTCCACCGCCGGGCTGGGGGCTCTGCGCTTAGAGCCGGTTCTCAGGTCCTGGGGGGCCGTGGGGTCAGAGCTGGGCTGGACCGTCACAGAGGCGTCATGGTGGCTCCAACCGCTCCTGCTGCCGCCGCCGTTGGTCTGAAGGAGTTTGGTGGAAGGCAGGTTGTTCTCGGTGCTCGCCGCCGCCGCAGGTTGAGTTGTGGCGGCACCGGCTCCTGTTGCTGCTGTGTAGCGCTGCAGCTCGTTGATGATCTCTGGGCTGTCGGGTGAAAGAGGGCGGGGCACGCTCTGCTTCTTGTCAGGTGACGGACAAGTGTCACTGCCATTGGTTAAAGCCTCCAGAGGTGGAGCCTGCGAGTCTGAGAGGAAGGAACAAAGGATTAACAAATAATAACGTGTCAGTGATATTTTCTCTTCAGTTTGTATGAAAATAGATGAAGAGTTTAGTCTTGTCGTTGGCTCCTCCCACCTTTGGGCGGCGCCGTCGAGCTCTCCTCTGCCGTCTTGGCCTTATTAGCTGCTCTGATGGCAAAGATCCGACCGTCAGATGTTCTGATGTAAGTCCCTGAAACAGCGGCGGGAAAAATAATCAGTTCACACAGAAACTTCAGTCTTTTCTTTCTGACCTGAATCATTTAATGACTTTATTTTATTCTTTTACAAACTGGTTCATAGTTTTTTCTGACCACGAGTCCCGAACATAAAGGTCGTGTTTGAGGAGCTGGAACGAGCAAATGCTTCAACAATGAACTGAGGATTGTGGGTAAATTCATTCAATTTTTTACTCATGTTTTTGTTGTTTTAAACATGTTTTAGGTTTGTTGTTTTCATGTGAAGAACTTGGTGCAGGTCCGTTTGTTTTGTTGTAAAGAACTTTGTGCTGCATTTCTTGTATAAAGGTGCTACAAGAATAAAGTTTATTATTATTATGTTTTATTTATTTTCTTTTTCTCTTGATTGTCTTTGATGTTTTTACGTCGGTGTTTTCTAGACTATTAAAGAAAAAGATGAAAGTGGCCGATCATCATGGTGTGCAGTGACTCTTACCTTTGGTGCCCCTGATGACGTGGATGCTCTCTCCAGCTGTGATCCTCGCCTGCACATCTGTTGAACTGTTGGTGCCTGGAATCACGATGTCTAAGACAGACAATTTGACAAATTAAAAGTTTAAAAAGCACAATAATAAAACAGATAATATCTAATTAAAGTGCAAAGATTAAAAGATTCGATGAGAATAAAATGGAGGTTTATTAGGAGCTAATTGTTTTCCTACCAGTCGTCGTGACGATCTTCTGCACAAACACTCCGGCCTTTTGCAGACAGTTGACCGGGAATCCTCCGAGGCTGGATCCGGATGAATTGTTGCCGGGGGCGGAGCCTGCAGACGCCTGGCGGGGCATCATGGGAACCGGGGTTGACTGGACCGTCCGGACGCTGGCCACCGGCTTCTCCTCAGCACGGGGGGGGGGACGCCTGAGGAGTTTAGAGTTTGTTTTTACATGTCACATAAACTTGATCATCAGCTGACAGCAAAACTTCTTTTAGCTTTTAAGTTTAGTGTTAAACTTTAGACTGAATTATAATCTGAATCTTTACTGTGTTCTCTTTCACGTCACTTTTATCTGTTACTTGATTTGAAATACAAAAGGAAACATGAACTAAACGTTTATTTTCCATCAGTTTAAATGCTGTGAGTCACTGACCAGTTCCTCTGGCTGAAGGCGGGGATGTTGGTGAGGCTCTGGTCACTGGCAGGGTAGTAGTGGGCGTAGGAGGGGCGGGTGTACGGCACCGACGCCCTCTTCTCCTCCTCGTAACCTTTCTTAGCAGCCGACTTCTCGGCGCTGCTCAGCTTCAGCTCCCTGCGGTCCATCAGCAGCGACTCGTGGGGGAACGGTTGCTGGAGGAGAGAGAAACGGGACATGATTTAACTAGATTCTTTGCTTCATAAAGTCAACTTCAGTTTTTACTCATAATAATAATAATGAACTTTATTTATAAAACACTTAAAATATAAAACATAATAAAGATGAGGGCGAACAGAAGGACAATAAAAAAAGACAACAGAAAGACAGAAGAAGAAGATGATACAACGTGTGAATGAAAATAAAAACCAGTGACGGTTACTTCAGCGTTACCTTGGTGATCAGGTGAGGGTAGAGGTGCAGCGCCTTCCTGAGGACGCTCTCCGTGCCGTCCTGGGGCTGCAGCTGGACCTGGGAGGGGTCCGGCTCCTCCTCCACGAAGTGAAGAAGAGACTCCACCTCCCTCCGGGTGAAGGTCAGCACAGGGTTCAGGTCGTCCACCACCCGGTCTGACGGAGAGAGAGAGAGAGAGAAAGGAAGTGAGACGGCAGCAGCAACACTTGAGACAGTTTACTCCGTCAGACAAGAGGCTCTCGACAGAAGAGAAGTGGTTTAAACACACAGCTCATTAGTGTGTGAGTGTGTGCTGTGGTGAGTGGCATGTGTGTGCTGTGTCGTGGGTGTGTGTGTGTGTGTGTGTGTGTGTGTGTGTGTGTGTGTGTGTGTGTGGGGGGTCTGTCAGCTGGAGGCAGTAAATGTACCTGGACTGAACGAGGTGTGGCTCTAGTACATTTTAAGTTTTTATTTGTTTTTTCCTTTTTGGTTTGTTCTGTTTTTTTAATATTTCATTTATTATTTTATTATTATTCAATCTCACTTAACATCAATGTTTTTATTGTTTTTCATTTGATAATTAAAGTTTTGAACATGTTTTTATGTTTATTTCAAGTCTTTGTTGAACTTTGTGCAACATTCCTCGTAAGAAAGGGGCAAATAAAGTTTATAATTATTATTATTATCATTACTATTAAAAGGTCAATTAAAAATATAGAAAACATGGATCTAAATGCATCTCATGTATATCAGGTTTATATTCAGTAAAAATGACAGAATTAGGAGAATGCATTTGAGGATGTTCAACTATAAAACAGTTTGTAGTTGCTAACCCTCGTCATGCGCTCACAGCTCACCTGACATCCCCTGTTTGGAAATCTGGCGGTCGTAGATCTTCTTCTCCAGCGTGAAGTCACACACCAGTCGGTAGATGTGACACGGCTTCCTCTGACCGTAGCGGTAGACGCGGCACACGGCCTGGGCGTCGTGACACGGGTTCCAGGAGGCGTCGAACACCACCACGCGGTTCGCCCCGATCAGGTTCACGCCCAGACAACCGGCCCTGAAGGACGAGACAGGGCAGCGATCAAACAGCTGGTTCAAAGCGGCCGCGTGTTTTCATATTGAAAATTCATTAATATCTTTGCTGAGAGTCGAAGTGTCACCTGGTCGACAGCAGGAAGACCCAGGCGGAGGTGTTGGATGGATCGTTGAACTGGTTGATCAGTCTCTCTCTCTCTGAGGCCGTGGTGCTTCCGTCCAGTCCTTGAACACATCACACCAACAACACAGATTCAAAACAAGCAGCAGCAGCACAAAGTCGCTTCAACACCAGTTCAGTCCTTCGTCATTCATTAGAAACATCAAGCAGAGTGTCTCGTCATCTTAAAACACCCAGCGGCTTCACTACACTGTGCGACTCTGATTCTCCACCTGCTGTTACATGGAATCTACAGGTGAAATAAAAACAGAGGCGTGTGCAGAGGAAACACGTTCCACATCAAGATTTCACGACTCTTCTTGATGTTATGGAGACAGACCAGCAGGTGGCAGCACTCATTGTAAGTCAATGAGAGAAGCAGCACCAGCAGCAGTCAGAAATACACTCAACATAAACTACCAGATTTATAAAAAGTGTTTTAATCAGCTAAAACTCACTGACTCTGACTTCCTGTGAGTCAGAGGACAGATTTTAAAATCCTCCTCCTGGTCTGTAAAGACCTAAAGGTCTCTGGTCTGAACACATCCGGACCCCTCAGGTGATCTGGGTCAGCTTCACTCAGTGTTCCCAGAATCAGGAGCAGGTGAAGCAGCTGTTAGTTTCTCTGCTCCTCACCTGTGGAAGCAGCTTCCTGAACACCTGAGATCTGCTCAGACTGTCAGCTCAGTTAGATCAGGGACTGAAACATCACTGTTCACTGCAGCTTATCAATAAATCACGTACACATCATCTTTTAATCTGCTGCATTTGAACGTCTTTCATCACTGCGACACTTCTCTTAAAGTGTTGTCCTGAGTTTCTCACCTGGTTTCTATATCTTTAAATATCTTTATTTATTCCTATTATAATTTAATGTCGTCTTAATGTTCGTTTGTTAATCTCCATGACTCTGGAAAGCTCTTTGAATCGTGTCTGAATGACGCTGTAGAAACAAACTTCCCTAATAAACAACATATTCAGATTGTTTTTCACCATGTGTCAGTGTTTTAATTATTCAGCATATTGACTGCTTCTTTTAATCACAGTGAATGACCACGTACTGTAGTAGTTGAGGTTGCGGACCCAGTTCTGATTGGGTCTGTCTCTGTTGGACGTGTTGGGGGAGGGGGGCACCGCCCTCTTGGCCAAGAACTCCTCGATCACCGTCAGCGTGGACAAACTCTGACTGCAGGAGGAAGAAGCAGAGCTCAGAGCGCAGGCCTGAAGGATTCACCCGGGTTTGTCAATCATGAAATAAAGGTGCTTCGGTTTTCTTCTTCAGTCTCGTGTTCGATCTTTTACCTGAAGACGAGCAGCTTGTCTCCCTTCCTCACGCTCTCCTCTATCAGGTGGAACAGCATCACCATCTTCGCAGAGTTCTCCAGGATGCCGGGTTTGTAGTCGCACATGATGTCCTTCGCCTGAACGTGTGAGAGGAGAGAGACGTTAAACATCACCTTTAAATTCGTAGCTGTGAACTTTATTTTGAAGTCTCAATTGTTTTCTTTATGTTACAGGAAGTTAACGCCACAGCTCGACGTACCCATTCGTACGTGATGACCTGATTGGCTTTCTCCTGCAGCTGGTTGAGACTCAGTCCACCAATGGGGGTGGGGTTCTCCAGGGGCTTGGACTTCTGATTGGGTGCGGTCGGACATCGGGCGGGTCCCGTGGAGGTCATGTCATCCAGGTCCAGGTCCTGGTCGCTCGCCAGGTTTTCCTTCTGCAAGGCCTCGTACAGAATGTCCGGGTGGTTCCAGATCTGAAGGACAACAGGAAGTTGGCGACGTAAAAAACACGTCGTCATGGTGACGATCGATGGATTCACCAGGTGAAATAAATGCGGAGGAATTTATCTTAATGTTGACGGAGACGTCGACAAGAGGAAACTCTTATTCTGAAGTTTATCTTCTAACTGCAGAAACAACGACTTCAATTTTATTCTTATTCTCTGGACTGTTTTCCTTCTACTTTTATTTCTGGTTATTTATTTTATTCCTCCTTCAAACATCTCCTCTCTTTTATCTTTATTATTTTGTCTCATTTTTTATAGATTTTTAATATCCTCCCTTTTATTTCTGGTCGACTCATGTTAATACGTCTCCTCTGTTTTAGTGTTCATTATTTTATCTTTATCTCTCTGTCACTCAGTCTTCAGTGTTTCTTCACTTCCTGTTATTATCGTCTTATTTTTATTGTTTTAATTTATTACTTGGTCCTTTATTGTTCTGTGTGTAAATGTTTCCTTTATCTCCAAACCTGGATTAAATCTACAATAAACATGAAACAGTGGTGCTTCATTATCCAGGCTGAGCTCCACACGCCGCCGCCGCCGCCCTCCTCCTCCTCACCTTGCAGCAGACACAGAACGCCTTCAGCGGGTTGAGGCTGAGCCAGCCGGTGTTTCCCGCCTCTCTGAAGCGGTTCATGAACTCGGTGTAGAGCGCCCTCTGCAGCGGCGACAGGCGGACCAGGATCACATGCTCCTCCTTCGACGGCAGCTGGTCCTTGAGGACGTCGTGGCCTCGTCTGCAGGGAAGACGAGTCCCAGTAAATATCTGTGTGTGAAGTTGTGTTTCCTGGACGGAGACTGTGGGTGTGTAAAGGCTCACCTCTGAACGAAGCCCTCCAGCAGACTGTGCAGGACGTGGCTCCGGTACCTCATCAGCTGGACGTCCTGCGGCGTGCTGTCCACACACTGCCCGTTCAGAATGGGACGCTCGAACATGTTACTGAACTCCTGCCGCGTACCTGAAGTACACACAGGGACAAACTGGAGTTAGTCTTCTGATTGTAAACCAGAACCACCTCCTCCTGGTCGTATCCCTCCGCCACTCAGACTAGTTCCAGGTCACATCCCTGTTTATCCAGAGAGAAAATCTGAACCAACTGAGTGAAATTTTGTGTTTTGTGAGGTCAACACAACCTTGACCTTTGACCTTTAGCCACCAAAAACGTATCAGTTCATCCTTGAATCAAAGTGAATGTTTGAGCCAAATTTGAAAAAGTTCCATCAAGGTGTTACTGAGATATCGTGTCCATGAGAATGAGACTGACGGACGACCTTAAAACAAAATGCTAAAGTTCTGAAGCTGATCTGGAAAAACATCCCCTGAATTAAAACGCAGATCCTGCTCCTCACCCAGGAAGTCGGGCCGGACGAAGTCCACCATGCACCAGTACTCGATCAGGTTGTTCTGCAGCGGGTATCCGGTCAGGACCACGCGGCGGCGAGTCCGGATGTTCTTCAGAGCCTGCGACGTGCTGGCGTGACAGTTCTTGATGCGATGGCCTTCGTCACAGATCACCACATCTGGACCGGGTCGGGCCAGGGCCCTCTCGATACCTGGAGGAAGATGAGCGTTAATATGATTTTCACACTCTTAAAACTCTGTCTCCTCCTCCTCCTCCTCCTCCTCCTCCTCTCTCTGACCTTTGAGCAGTTCCTGCTGTCGGTCCTCTTCGTCCAGGTCGATGACGACGGGTCCGGCCGTTTTCTTGCTCTTCTTCTTCCTCCCGGCCACGAAGCTCTTCTTCAGCGACAGCAGGCGGTACATCTCGTAGCCCATCAGCAGCACGCCTCCGTCCTGAGCCCAGTCCTCCACCACCTTGGCCCGGGTGGCTGTGTTCCTGGGCAGGAAGACACAGGACGAGTTTTAAACTTGTGAGAAAATAAAATGACTGTAGATTATAGAGAAGAGATTTTACTTTGTTAGAAAGAACTACAGGCAGAATGAAAAGTCTGATTCAAAGTGAAGAGGATGAAAATAGTAAGAAAAACTCAGATTATCTCGTATTAAAGAGAGAAAACAACATTTCACTGTTTTGTAATCAATGATTCTGATTGTGATAAATTGCCAATTACTTAAAAAATCATTTCAGAATCGTGTTTGAACAAACTGGTGATTTTGTTCATTTTTTACTGTCACAACGAAAGAATGAGGTCACTGTGTCACTGACACACACACACACACACACACACACACACACACACACACACACACACACACACACACACACACACACACTTCTTTGCAGCAGAAGCAGCTGTGGAGAAACAGGATACTGGAACCAGATGGGGATGAAGTGCAGAGGAAGGTCAGAGCTGTGTTTTTTAAAAAAGAAGAAAGGTCTCCTCGCCGTCACCACGGCAACCGACTGTCAGTGCGACTCCTCCTGTCACTCACTTGTGTTCGTCATTGAGGATGTGAACCTTGAAGGCGCGAGGCGTCACCAGTCCGGGGTCGGCGTCTGCAGGTAACGCCTCCGGGGGCGGGACCCAGGTGTTGAACTCTGACAGCCAGTTCTGCAACGTGTTCACCTGACAGAGACAGAGACAGAGAGACAGACAGACAGAGAGACAGAGAGAGAGACAGAGAGAGAGACAGACAGAGACAGAGAGACAGAGAGAGAGAGACAGAGACAGAGAGAGAGACAGACAGACAGAGAGAGAGAGAGAGACAGACAGAGAGAGACAGAGAGAAAGAGACAGAGAGACAGAGAGAGAGAGAGAGAGACAGACAGAGAGAGACAGAGAGAGAGAGACAGAGACAGACAGAGAGACAGAGAGAGAGACAGAGACAGAGAGAGACAGAGAGAAAGAGACAGAGAGACAGAGAGAGAGAGAGAGAGACAGACAGAGAGAGACAGAGAGAGAGAGACAGAGACAGACAGAGAGACAGAGAGAGAGAGAGAGACAGAGACAGAGAGAGACAGAGAGAGAGAGACAGAGAGAGAGACATAGAGAGAGAGAAACAATGTTAATTATTATTATTAATTGAAGGCGTGAAGGCAGGACGACCCAGCTCCTTTATTCATGAACTCCCTCTGCAGAGAATGAGTTTTTCGACATTAGAGGTGCTTACAGGTACGATGGCGAGCACGGTGTGGGCCTGGGTGTGTCTGAACAGGACGTCGATGAAGGCGATGACCTGCAGCGTTTTGCCCAGGCCCATGCTGTGAGCCAGGATGCAGCCGAAGCCGCTGCTGCTGCTGAAGCGCTCCGTCGACTCCACCAGGTTGTCGTACAGGAAACGGATTCCACCGATCTGCAGAGGTGATGGAGTGACGGCGAGAGAGGAGGAGGAGGAAGAGGAGGAAGAGGGCGATCCGAGAGAAAGAAAAGAGAGCGGAGCGGAGAAGAAAGAGGGAAGAAATAAAAGTGACAGGAATGTGTCATGAAGAGGAGGAGTGACGGAAAGGTAAGACAGGTGAGAGACAGGAAGAAGAAGAGAAGGTGGGAGGTGAGAAAGCAGAGGTGACATCTCATTAAAGCTGAGGAGGAGACACTCAGCTGACAGGTGACCAGTATGACTTTATGACTCCCATACACACATGTAACACAGTTTATACATATACTGAACTTCCATACATGAAATATATAAAACATATATGTAAAAATTATATACGAAACAATTCCACATATTGACATGTATGTTCATGTAAATACACTGATCACATGATCTCATCAATACCTGGTGAGGTTTGACGGCTCGTGCCAGCTGCGGCGACAGGAAGACGTCCGTCTCCTCGTCCGGGTGGTTCAGGTTGACCAGCACGCGGCCCCGGGCGTCCGGTCGGTTGAGGGCGTCGTTGGCGTGTGCGCCGCTCGGCTCGCTCTCTTCTTCCTCGTTGGTGGACTCGCTGCTGATGTGGACGGTGGCGTCGTCCTCGCCCGAGCTCAGGTCGATCACATCTGCACAGAGGAGGAGGAGGAGGAGGAGGGTGAAGGTGAAAGGTTAAAGGTTAAAGGTTTCCAAAAGGGGAAATTCATTTATTCAGGTTCAGACAGACTTCACGTCAGGAGTGTGAGTCAGCGGAGGTCAACAGCTGGTCTGTCACACGACATCCGATCCAGATGTTTTCACAAAGACGTGAAGGCCTGAAGCCTTTATTATTGGATGCTGTATTTCTTTATGTTTTTAATGACTCTGTATTCTTCCTCTCGTGCACACTTTATATGTTTTTACTCTAAAACGTCTTCCTGTAACTTCTGTGCAAATAAACTAAAACTAAACTAATCATGTGTCTGGGACTCTCTGGATTTCTGCATCCTGCACCCGTCACCACGACGACGACAAAAACAATTCAGACGCAGCTTTTCCCACGAAAGCAGCTCCTACTATATTTGTATTTATTGGTTGTTGATCGGTTGATCTGTAATGGCCTCGCGGCTCCGTCACGGCGTTGCGTCAGTCGTGGACGTCACTGACTGTTTCTGCAAAATCCAGATCTGATAAAAAGGACTTCAACAGTCGGTGCTATCGAGTGGTGAAAGTTACACAAGCTGGCAAACTGCAAGGGCATGACGGGCAGAGTGTGTGTCAGTATGTTAGTGTGTGTGTGTGTGTGTGTGTGAGTGTGAGAGAGAGAGAGAGAGAGAGAGAGAGAGAGAGAGCGAGAGAGAGAGAGCTTATGTAACTGCAGTGAATGGCTGGTTATACAAGTAGGATTAGAGTGGAGGGGGAGACTGGTTATGCAACCCCAACTAGAAATGTCACTGTGCCACTGTGGTGTGAGTGTGAGTGTGAGTGTGTGTGTGTGTGTATAAGTGTGTGTTCTGGCTCATAACCAGGATTAGCCAGCTTTATTGCTCTGATCGCCCCACAGACTCTCTCTCTCTCTCTCCTTTGCTTTTCGTCTTTCTAAGCTTCAAATCTACAAATTAACTGTCTTTGTTCATCGAGATATCCCATCATCCCTCTCTCTCTCACTTGTGTTTGTGTGTGTGTGTGTTGCAGGTGTGTGTGTGTGTGCGTGCATGTGTGTGTGTGTGTCTGCAGTTTGCCTTAGTCCTCTCTTTCAATGCTGAAATACTTGTATTTATCCCTAACTGAGTGTGTGTGTGTTTATCCTTGACTGTTTGACTGGCTTTGTGTCTGTCTGTCTGTGTGTGTGTGTGTGTGTGTGTGTGTGTGTGTGTGTGTGTGTGTGTCTGTCTGTGTGTGTGTGTGTACTCAGGCAATAAGGGAACGGTACATGATGTACCCTATGAAGGTTTTAAATATTCTGATGCACATGGCAGCTAATCTGCAAAAACTCCACACACACACACACACACACACACACACACACACACACACACACACACACACACACACACACACACACACACACACTTTTAACTTTCAGTAATTGGGTTTAAATGTTTCCAAAAAGGAAAAGGTGGAGGAGTCTGTTTCTGTTCAGCTCTGAAAGAATTTAATGAAATCTGCATCTATTGAACATTTTAAGTGGTTGGTGTGTGTGTGTGTGTGTGTGTGTGTGTGTGTGTGTGTGTGTTATAATCTGCAAGTTCTTGTTTGAAATAAAAGACAATACTTCCATTACATCGTCTTCACTGAGACAACAGGAAGTGAAGACTCGGGACAGATGACACTCGGCTGTATCTGATTCAATGTTGAACATAATCATCCTCGTATCCACTGACACAGACTCAGATTTGGGCTGTTTATCAATCCTCTCATTTCGTCTAGAAATTCCATCTGATTTGGTTTTTCAACGTGCCGACGGGCTCAGAGAGCGATCTGAAGCCGAGTGCGACATTGAATAAACACATCGTCGCGTCACTGTCACGAGGCGTTCAAAGCTGCTGATTTCCAGCCGACAGCCGTAAACTACTGGAACTGTTAAAATGATATTTGCCTTTGATAGATCGGCGACTGACAAACGTGCCCTTGAGCAAGGTATCTGACCTCAGATTGCCCCTGTGGTTTTGGTTCTCTGGCCCCTGGTTGAACCGGGCAGCTGCGAGGTGTGAATGTTTGCAGCTGTAATCAACGGAGACGTGACACTGATCCTGAAACTTTCCACACTGATTTTAGGAATTGTAGATTTTCAGGCGAGACGATCAGATGAATGTGTGTTTGTGTTTGTGTCTTTAAACTTTACAAAGTCCTGTCATGAAAAACAGTGGATGACACGGGAACGTAAAGATCTTTTCCTGACGTATGTTTTATAAGAGAAACTGCTGCGCCACACAACAGTTTAACTTTGTTGTAAAAGCAAAATGAGGATGGAGCTTCACTTCTCTGAACCCAGACTGTGATAAAATGTTTCTGTAATTTTATAATTGTACATTTTGCACAGTTGTTCTTTCTTTCTGAAATACTTTGTTTCATCCTTATTTTTATGTTGCATTTATTTCCTTTTATAGTATTTATTTTATTTGGATGTATTGTTCATATCGTTTCCTCAATTCTCAGTTTTTATTATTCAAAACATTTTCCACTTCATCTTATTAAAACTCTTAAACCCTCCTGACAACTTCATCATTTAATCATCAGTCTGATCAACCACAACATCCTGTGAAAGAGCCACATATAAATCATCCAGGATTCTCCTCACATTAACTCATAAACATATTTCCACTTGTCGTGCAGGAAACAACAGAACTAATAAATAAAACAGAAGAATTCAAATAAAAAGACTTTCGTCTGTCATTCGTGCAAACTTTTGGGTTTTGTTGATTTTTCCTTCGAGCACTAAGTCGACCGCACTTCCTGTTTTGTTTCTGGATGTCGGGAAAACCCGAGGTGGATTTTGGTTGTTGTTTAAATTGAGTTGGACATTTGGATCGAGACTGAGGGAGAAAGAAACTTTGGTTTCCTTTTACTTTCACTCTGAACATCTATGTGCTGTGTGTGGTGGAGTTCATTTAAACACAGTAACTTTTCTCTCACTGCTGTTGCGTTACAGTCTGTGTTTGAGTTAGAAGAACCAGCGTTTCATGGGATCATGGGCATGAAAACCTTTGTGGTTTCGATCTGTAATTAGACACTTTAGTCAAAACTGGTCTAAATGTTCCAACTGGCTGAAAAACCTTGATTTAATCTCTAAGACTTCTTCCAAACACTCGACGTCTCCGATAAACCTGGTGACACATTGTACCAGAGCTCACACTGTGCTGATCAGACATCTGAAGCATTAGCATCGAGCTTACTTAAGGCTTCGCCCCGCTATGCCGGCAGCTCAGAATATACTGACAGGTAATAAATAAACTTCACAGCTCCGTGTCCCTATCTGATTTTATGGCCTCCCGCGGCCGCCTGACTTACTGGCCCAGTTACATAATCAAGAAAAAAGGTCAAAGGGCAATCTGAGCCAGAGACCGGCAAAGTATTTATCGTTAAATACCAATAAATACAAACACAGCTGGGTTAAAAAAGGTTTTTGTAAATACACTTAGTCTGAGTCGGGAGCTTTTCTCTCAGCATCCTCCTCCCTGACAACTTGTCATGACGTTTGTCTGGAGGTTCGTCATCATCATGGATCAGTTTTTTTTTTGAGCAATCTCATCTGTGTGTGTGTCTGTGTGTGTGTGTGTGTGTGTGTGTGTGTGTGTGTCTCACCTGTTTTGCGTCTGCGCTCTGTAGTGATGGAGGTGGGTACGTTTGTCTTGCCAGCGTCGTCGCTGATGCCCGTGCTGCTGGAGTCCAGGCAGATCACTTCCTGTCTGGCCGACTTCACGTCTTGCTGTGACGCCGTTGATGCTGATGACGAAGACACGTGCTTCGTCGCTTCGCCTGGAGAGAGGGAGAGTAACGATACAGCAGATTAAGAGCGGGAAGAAAGACGAAAGACGAGACAGGAGATTGGGAGGAAATTGGTTGGTTGGATAAAATGCTACGTTTAAGATGCTAACAAGCCGTTTGATGGTGGATTTTTGGTGCTAAGCTAACAGCTAGCATTATGAAGTGAGTCTGACAGACAGGTGAGAGAGTCAGTGACTCTGTGTTCACAGTCTCACCGGTCGTGTACTCAGGCAGCAGCGGTACGGGGAAATCCTGTTTTCTCTGCTGGTCGAGACGTCGCCTCCTCTCCAGCTCCTCCTGCTGGACGGCTTTGGTCACTGCCTCCAACTGATGATCCCTCAGTAGCTTCCTACACAGATGCAGAAAAACACACCATCAGTTTGAGACACGCCATGAGTCAAAGTGCTTTCTCTACCGCTGCGTTAGTCATTATTTATTAAAGATGAAGAGTTTTGAGAAAGCTGTGACTCACAGCTCTGAGCCACAGAGAGTAATCACCTCACCCTGCGGCTATGGAGAGTTTCCTATCATCTTTCAGCTGGTTGTTTAAGTTTAACTTCACATTTACTCTTTGGTTCTGTCTCAGGAGTCTCCTAAGTGTTGTTTCCAGATGCAACAGGGAAAAGAAAAGCTGCCATAAACCCATTAAACCCAGTGTTCACCATCTGTCCTGCACCAAACTGCTAACAGATAAACTTAGCAGCTCGCTCCTGAGCTAGCTGAAGAAAAAATTGATCAAACTACATCACAAATAAGATGTCGACTTTATATGACGTAACATGAGGGTTTGATGTGAATCACTTTTGATAAAAGAAAACAGCTGGATGGAGACAGATTTACGCCACAACGACACTTCCTGTCTCCGACTCACATGTCGCTGAACTAACCAATCAGAGGTGAGGAGGACTTAGACTGAGGGAAATAAGAGGAAAACTAGAGAGATGGATTCAGGAGGTCACTGTAACTGTTTTTAAAGATGCATATTTGAATATTTAAACTTGTACATATGTAAATAATTAACTGTATAAACCCTGTAAATATATTTTTAGTGAATTAACTGAAATAAACAACATGAACTAACATCTAAACTTAAACAATTATCCAAGCTACTTTGGTAAAAAGCGAGACAATGAACAAAACATTGTGCTCACGTGTAAACGTTAGCATAAAAGAATTAGCTGTACTCTTCATTACTTTTGGTTTTTGGTGGGAACATCTCCCGCTTTAGAAGAAAGGTATTTGATCAGTGCTTGTAACAGTAATAGACAAGAACCATGTCACACAAACTCACACACAGAAGAGTCTGATCAGTGAGAGAAGCCGGCGAGAAGCTTCTCTGAGACGCTGTTGTGTAAAAGCAGCTGGATACTTGAGGTTGAGCTGTGTGGCGGTTTGTTGGCAGCCGCAGGAAAGAAGCTGCAGACTGAACGTGTGTGTGTGTGTGTGTGTGTGTGACCACTGACAGATTTTATCATAACGTGGCTTGTCCTTCAAGTCTTCATGGTAAATCCTGTTATCCAGCCAACAATGGCTTGTTATTAGAAATACAATATGTTTTGAATGAGCTGAGCAGCAACACACTGACTGGTAATCCCTCTGATCTACAGGGTGACTCTTTATGTAAATGTATTTTATTTTTTGGCCTGTTAAAATAGTTTTAATTACAAGTATTTTAATTATAAGTTTACCATATTTATTTGTGTTGTATATTAAATGGTGAAAAATTATTTGAGTTAATTATATTATTAATTGTTACTTCATTTAGTTTATTAAAAAATGTCATCATGAGTTGCAGCAGATTGTTATTTCATATATATAATTTGTAGGTGTAACATTTACGTTGGTTATTTACAACCCCTTTAATGTGGAGCACTTTGGTTCCCACCTGGCATTGTTGCAGGGGGACAGGTGTGAATGTGACAGTCTGTTGGGTGCACGTCCTGCTGAGAGAGCAGAATAAAGTTGTCTCAACTATGAAATTATATAATGAACTCAGTGAAGTAATATTAATTAATAATCTAATAAACTCAAATAATATTGCACCACTCGATTTACAACACAGATGAATATGGTAAACTTATACGACAATAATTAAAGTTACAGTAGGTACAGATGTGAATTAATTCAACATCTGAACACTTGTATTTGAGGTTGTTTCACACACAGGACATAGTTATAGTTAAAGACACTTATAAATTAATGTCATGGCAACAACTGTATTTTTAAGAATAGGAATTATTCTCTTTTTTAAATGTTTTTAAATGTTTTATATTTGCAGTTTCCATCACATCCTTCAGGAAGTCGACAGAATAAACAGTGAGAGTCTGTTTGACCTCTGACTGACCCCAGACGTGACGGGAGTTCAGTACCTGATGTTGCGTCTCATGTGCGCCGGTTTGGAGCTCCTCTTCTTGGTTCCTGTCAGGGCGGAGGGAGGGGAGGGGCTTTGGCTGGCCGGCCTGGAGCGGGGTCTGGAGGCGGGCTGGGAGGGGGGAGGGTGGGCCGGCGTCTCTCCCGAAGGTGAGGTAGATGGGGGAGGAGTGCACTGCCACACAGCGGGGTCGCCTCCCTGAGCCTCATTCTCGGAGCTGAAGGGGGCGCTGTGGGACTGGTCTGTGGGGGGGGAGAAGAAGAAGTGACAGTTATTTCATGTGTCAGCAAACAGGAAGTGGTTCATGTGACTGGAGATTAACACAGGACCTGATGTCTGTTGATTATGATTCTGAACCTTGATTCTGCATTAATTTACAAACTGAGGATTAAAACTCTTTCAACTAGAAATCAAATGTTTGGATTCATGTGATTCATAATAATAAAACAGCTCTGAACTGAAACAGGAAGTACTCATGTTTCTGCGCGCTGCAGCGGGAAACTGAAGCTGACTGATCGTCATGATCGTTCAGTCATTTGAAGAAACGTTTTCAACATGTTTCTGTCAGTCTTCTGCAAATAATGTGAATAATGCAGAATATTGTACAAAAAAACTTTCAACATACAAAAATAAACCAACAATGAAGAATTGATTCTAAACTGAATTCAGTCCAAGTGTCATCGGATGATCCGGAAAACTTTATAATTGATCTGATTTTGAATTCTAGACCAAAAGCAGAAAATAAAATCACATGATCTGTTTGTTTTTTCTTTCCAAACAAAAAGCCAGAAAACCAAATTCAAAAAAACTTAAAATCCAATTTTGATTTTTGCAAATTCATTTTTTCATTTCTCATTTAGCAAAAAACAGTAGAATGGTGGACAGACAGGAAGAGGAAGTGAAGTGTAAAAAAGTCAAAATAAAAGCCAAGAGGACACACAAGTGTAACATTAAGCAAGCAATTACCAAAAACCTTTTTTTCTGTTTTGGTTTTAAAACAATAAAACAGATTTACATGTTTTTTGGTTTTTAAATCACAAATGAATCGCGGATCATCTGACGATACTCGGACGATACGAAGTCCCAAAGATTTCCACCTCGCTGTCTCTGACTCTGATGCACATTTACTGCAGTTTCGATCTATTAACTGACGTGTGAAATACTGAACATGCTGTGTGAACGTTCCTCAGTAAAGACGCTTCTTCTTCTTCTACAGTGAATTGCCTCTTTCAGGTTTTCACTCAGTCAGAACTGATTCATGTTTCAGTGTCTGTAAAGTTGCAGCAGCTGAGAGGCTTTTAAAACCAGGATGTTTTATAATAATCACTATGACACCCCCCCCCCCCCAACGTCTAAAAGACATAACTCATATAAAACAATCACGAGGAGACGTGTCCGACCAATCACACAGCCGGTTCTACTGGATCAGCACCGTGTCATTTCTGTGGTTTGATTTATGATTTGTTCATTGTTCAGTTCTTTTGTCCATGTTCAGATGAGTCTGCCAGAGGTGTGACCGAGACACTCCCAAAAACACACCCAACACAGGACCAACATCATCGGATCAGCAGCAGCCAGACATTCACATTTCAGCTCTTGTCTTACTGAAGTCTGAGGAGCAGTTTCTGAATCTGAGGACGAAGCACATTCCTTCTTTGTAAAGACACAAAATGAAGCGATCTCCGTTATTAAACAAGTTCTTACAGTTCGGCCCAAAACTAAAGACACAGTCTGATTCAAACCGTCCAGTATCAGTCATGTGTATAAGTTCTCAGATTAATTAAAGAATCGTTAACGCTGGGTTTAAATTTTAAATGTCATCTTATCGATTAATCTCTTGTGTTTATTCGGCCTTGTTCCGGAGCTGTTTACTGTTTGAAATGGAAACTTCCATTAAACAGGTCTGACTCATCTCAGCTGCTGCCGCCAGACGCAGCATGAGAACATTCAGGTTTTCAAATTCATACAAATTAACATTTAACTCAACTACATTAATAAAAACACCAGAGCTGAAGGAGACGTCAACACGAGACGCTGAGAGCTGCAGCGAGAAGCAGCTTCAGCTTCTGAACTCATTTCTCTCTCTGCTTCTTCTCTTCTCTCTCTGCCTAGATTTCACTTTCACCTTTCCTCCTTCTTCTTCTCCTTCGTCTCCTCCTCCTCCTCCTCCTCCTCCCTCTCTCAGTTGTTCTGCCAGAGACACAGTGAACCA